ACCTTCCTCATGGGAGCGTATTACCTTTTCATCCCAAAGCTTGTGGCCCAAACAGGAGGCAGAACCTGGGAAGGGGACAATTGTGGGCAAGCTTGCTGCTGCCTGATCCTGTCTTCTGCCTCTCACATGCTTTTTTAAAGGTTGATGAGGTTGTCATAGTTTCTGAATTGGCTTCTGCCCTGTGTTCTGCCCGCTTTGTCCCAGGTCTCCTGATGCACGAGGGCCTGCCAGCAGCAGAGAGCTGGGGCCTCTGCAGTATTCCCGCACCACACCCGGCCCTGTCTCTTGCTGAGCTTGCAATGGCCTTTTTGGCAATCAATCCAGTAGAAATAGAATGTAAGCCACATGTAATTTTTCATTTTCTAGTAGCCTTGTTTAAAAATATAACAAAAAAATAGATGAACATAGTCTTAATAATGTGTTTTATTTAACCCCACATAACCAAAATATTATCATTTCAACATATAATCAGTATAAAATATTACTAATGAGATATTTCATGTTGTTTTTTACCTCCTCAGTCTTCAAAATCTAGTATTTTACATTTAGAGCACATCTCCATTTAAACCAGCCACATTTCTTTTTTAAGATTTTATTTATTTATGAGAGAGAGAGAGAGAGCGTGCATTCAAGAGAGACTGATTGAGCAAGAGGAGGATCAGCAGGAGAGGGAGAAGCAGACTCCCCACTGAGCAGGGAGCTCAATAAGGTGGGGTTTGATGCCAGGACCCCAGAATCACGACCTGAGCCAAAGGCAGATGCTTAACTGACTGAGCCACCCAGGCACCCCTGAACCAGCCACATTTTAAGTGCTCAATAACCACAAGTGGCTAGTGGCTACCATATCAGATAGCACATTCCAGAACATACATGAAAGTCTAAATATAATTGCACTTATTGCTAATATTCTGCTAATATTAACCACTGGCTGTTAACATTTTATTATATTCTCATCTAGTCTTCTCTATGTATAATATTTTTGCAAAGCTGAAGCCATGTTGCCTTTATGACTTTACATCCTTCTCTTGCTATTTTTGTGTATCTTTCTACACCATTAAAAGTTATTCACAATTGTTATCTTTTGTGATGATATCATAGGCTATCCCATCACTCAGATGTGTCAGAATCTTCTTAATCAATACCCAAATGTTGGACAGCTGCAATTTTTCAATCTTACAAGTAATGCTGAGATGAATATTTTCATGTTATGTATTCTTTTTAAGGCCTTGATGCAAATGTCTCTAGCATTCTAGTTATTTTTAACAAAATAATTTTTACATCAGCAGTACGTCAAACAATCACCAACTAGTGATTTATGACTGGGAGCTGAGACATCTTATTTTCTCATCCCACCCCTTTGATACCCTGCTCTGTAAACCGAGGGCAAACCACTTCACTCCATTTATAAAGTAAACTGATTGTATTAGATGATTTTTAAGGGTCTTTCCAACACTAACCTTCAGTGATGTTTTTCGCTCACCATCATAGCTAATCAATTAACCTGTCAAGCTAGTCATTAGAAGTCCTGCAAGTCACATCAAAGGCACTTAACATTTAAAAATCCATCCACTTCTCTCCGTCCTCACTCACAGTGCCCCTTATACAGGCCACATCACTGTTCATCTAAATTGTGAGGGAATATGGAGTGCAGACAGAGATTAGGTTCTAAAGTTAACAGTGAAATCCAAAATCAAGAATAGGATTAAATGACGTATGTGGGAAAGCATGAGGCTGGCACAGAGGAGATGCTCAGTACGTATTTCCTACACTGCAATCTGAAACCGGCTTCTAGAGGCCCACCTAGAGCCTGTTCCTTAAAAGTTGGAGTGGCGTTCACAATGAGGCATCAGAGGTGATGTGCCCTGCTGTGAGCCAAGCCCTGCCCCAGACACAGGATGCTGTGGGAAGACAAAGACTCAGCAGCTTCCCCTAAAAGGCTGACAGTCTAGAGGGGGAGACTGGAACCCCTATACGCAAAACAAGCATGCCTCAGGCGGTGTCTTCAATGGAAAAACCAGATGGAGAACAGAAAATTATCTGAGCAATTCAGGCAAGCCTGCTGTTGAGGAAAAGGCTTAACGAAATTTGTTCTACTATTTCTTTTGTGAACCAAGGGTTTAGGGCAGTCTAGGGAAGCAAAAGTACTGGGGCTCTAGAAAGAACAGAGTTCTGGCCCATGCTCTATAATCTTAAGCAAACCATGAAGTCACTTTTTGATCTCAGTATCCTTACTGGTCAAATGGAGACAGAGTAATACCAACCTTGCCCAAATCTAACCACCCACTAGACTGAGTTGTTGTGAAGTTGAGTACGTCGATCATGGATGGGGAAAACAGTTATTAAATGGGGCAATCTAATAGCCACAAAGGCAACTGAAAATGTGTCTCCTAAGATCCTACTCCTCAAGCAAATGCTTAGTAATCAGAAATAACATTTGTACTGAACTTTATCATGTGTAAGGCAATTTTAGGTGCATTTATTTTGTTTTCAAAGCCCTGTGTGGTAGGTACTATCATTTGCTCCTTTCGCACTCAAGGATATTGAGATTGAGGGGGTTTAAATAACTTGGTCAAATTTACACGATTTGGGAGGGCCAGAGTTAGGCTGACTCCTTGGTCCTCACTATTTCTCCACATGGTGCTGCCCCCCCCATTAAAATCCTGATCACCATGAGTGCACCAGTCATGATGAGCACCAGGCGATGAATGGAAGCATTGAATCACTATATTGTACACCTAAAACTAATGTAACGCTGTAGGTGAACTATACTGGAATTAAGTTTTAAAAAATCCTCATCCCCCAAACATTAATATTATTAACATAAATATTAATAATGTTTGTTATATACATTTCCCTTTTATCAAGGACATGAAAACATCAAAAGAGAAGCTCTGAAAAAAAAAATGCCTGACATGCAAGAACAGCAAGTTTACTTTCTCCTACTAAGAAAGAGTAGCTGTCCCCATCTGATTTGCATTTTATGCCATAGAGCAGGAAATACTTAAGTTGACAAATAGGATATTTACAACTGCAACAGATACTTGGCAGTTAGTTTTTAACAATTGTTGCAAATGTGATTTATTTGCTATTATAAAAGGGCATTACTGTGCAAATATGACTCCTGAAATTAGCTTCAGTTTAGCAAGGGGCCTTGACAGCTTGACCTCTTAATATCCTTATAATGATGCCATTTACATTCAATGCTTACTCAAGTCACTCACTGCTAGATTTGTTTGAGAGGAGTCCACTCTAGGGCAGATGTACTATGTATTTTAACATATAGAGTTGGTGTGTAGGGCACATGGAGGCTTCCTAAGAGGAAAAAATGTTTAATCAAGTCTTCATGAAAATGTGTTCGTTTCCAACTTCCTACAGTGAAAATGCGTTACTGCTAATTACAGTATACTCCAGAACTACAATACTTCATGTTTTCTCCATAAGACACTTTCATAGCATGAATTATACTAAACAAGGGCATGTTTTCACCCTCTGCAACTTTAGCTTTTAATGTGACTGGGAAACTAGTACAGTTGAGGAATGGCTGGGCCCAGATCAGTGCCGTCTCCGCCAGCAGGGAATGGGAAAAGGGTGGACTTGGAGCCAGAGAGAACTGGATTCAAATCCCAGCACTGCCACTTCCTGGCTGTGTGGACTTAGGTATTTCTCTGAACCTGTGTTTTTTTTATCTATGACATGGGACTGTTATTTTTTAGGTTATTATAAAGATCTGAGATGTTTGGGAAGCACCTGGCACTTGGGACTTGACATATGGGAGCCAGTCATATTTGTGTTGCTTGTCAAAGCTCAGACGTCACCTTCTCCGTGATGCAGCCCTGACTTCGCTAGACAAACTCAGTTTGTCCTTTCTGCCTCAGTAGTACTTTGTTCCATCCCTTTATTATATCAAGTATTACACTGTGTTGTAAATGACTGAATACGTATGTATCCGTCTTCCCCTCCTTGGCGGCAGAACCTGTGCCCATCCACCTTTGACTCTCCAGTAACTAGCACAATCATCTTGAACTTGCCTTCACTAGCCTTGAGCATTGAACTGAGGATGATTCTGGGGGTGCTTCCGTATTCAGTGTGGGGGTGGGTGCTGACAGGCAATTAGGGGTGATGGTCTGCCTCAGGAGAGGAGAGAGGTAGCACATGACCCACTTCTGCCATCTCCAATTTATAGTAGATGCTCAGTAAATATCTGTCAAAGGAATTAATGGACTTACTTAGTTATCGAGTGGCTTACAGAAACTTATTGCTCACATATGTCTATTTTTCAAAGTTTTTTAATTTTTATTGCATCATAGTATTCTTCTAATAGCCCTGCTGTTCAGCTCGGGTGGGTGTTCCCACAGTTTTCATTTCCCAGTTGAGGATACTGTAGCACCGTGGGGTGGCAAAATGACTTTCCCACACTCGTGACAAATGGGGGGAGCGCTAAGACTTACAGGCCAATCATGAGTGTCCCTAAAGTTTCATAGTGAGATTTCCTAGCACTGCTTTTTCTGAAATCAAAGCAAACTGCCCTTTTCTCCTATTCACTCCCTCTTTCTCCCTTCTGTCTGTGCCTCTTTAGTTCCCCATCCTCTGAAGCTTCTGTCCAGTCTCATTTTTCTCAACAGAAAACACTGCACAACTGGGGAACTCATACAGGGTAAGGACTGGCTGGGTCAAGACCAGTGTCATCTTCCTTCTCCTAAAAATGGCAAACCACAGGGGGGAATCAAAGTCCCCATGAGCCTTTTGGAATGGGGCACCTCCAACAGATTACCTTGGCCGGGTGTTTTAATTTTTGTAACTTCCCGTAAGAATGTTCAATCTTCTAATTAGAATCAGATTGGAGGCTCTGTCCTTCAGTTGAAGGAAGTAGAAACAGAAGCAAAAACATCTACTCCACTCAGTCATGGGTCTGACATGGTTTGGGCTGGTTAGGGTTGGTTGGAGCTTTCTCTCCAGGTTGTTGATCTCACCTTCACTTCTGTGGCTCCTGTTTTGATCAGGTGTGGGCAACAGGCCTCAGCCTCTCCTACAGTGACCAGCTGGCCCTGACTCAGCTCACCTTATACCTGACCAACGGCCATCTGGATTGCAGTCTGAGCACCCTGAAAGTGCCCTTTGTTCCCAAGAAAGAGAAGAAAATGAGCTGCCTTAATGCCCCCTCAGTGCCGGTAAGCAACAGATGCTTCCTGATGCCCCATGGTGTTCAGCAACACTCAACCACCACTTCCTGAGCTCTGGCTATGTGCCTAGCTCTTTGAGTAGAGAGAGAAGAAAGAACCTCAGGCAAGTCACTTAGCCTCTCCAAAACCGGTTTCTGGAGTACAAGTGTATTGGCCAGAGGAAAGGGGAGAGAGCGTTCCAGAAAGGGAAGGCACCATGTTGGAGGGATGAAAGAGCATGGGTTTTTCCAAGGGTGGGTCTGTTGGGACATTTCCCTCCATTTCTTCTCATCTCCAAGCCCTGGACAAGTTCTTCAACTACCAGCAACTTCTGACAAAACCCATATTTTTCTAGCCCCAATCTTGTTTTTGAGCTCCAGACTCCCAGATTCACCATTCTACAGAACTTCTCTAGAGTCCTCAGGGTCAAGCTGTCTCAAACTGCATTCATCATCTCTCCTCCCCCTGCACTTCCTCATGGTAGGTCCTGCCAGAGGCTGATGGGACACCTCCACCCCCACATCCAGTCAACACCAGCTCATGTTGTTGCTAGCCTCGACTCTGACCCCTCTTCTCCCTCCACAGAGACACTGCCTTAGTATTGCTCTTCACTAAGATTCCTTACCTGCTGTCCCTCCCCTCAGCCTAACCATACATACAGCCAAGATGGTCAAGGTGAAAAGCAAATCTGAGCATGTTGCTCCCCTACTTATGATTTTAAAATGATTCCTGTCATCTTCAGGAAAATCCCAGCTTCCCAGCTTTGTGAAGGAGGGCCTTCATGATCTGCCTCTTTCTGCGGCCCCAACCTCCCATCTCATCACTAGCCCCATTGCTAGGGTGGCTGGATCCAGCAGTCTTGGGGCTGGTTGAGGTTTACCAACCTTAGAACCCAGGGCAACAAAATACAAATCTCCACAGTGACAGTGGGCTAGGTTGGTTGGTTTTGGAAAGGGAGAACAAGGGTCTAGTGGACTAGATGGCCCTTCATATACATGGAATATGGAAGCAGAAAGGGGCTCAGGCTACAGCTGCTCTGACTGCTGCCAGAGGGTTTCTTCTGCCTCTCCTACAGTGGGCTTCATACCCTTTTGGCAAATGAACATCTACTTGAGATGCTAATATATCAAACAGATAAAAGAGGAATTTCAGTGGTTAATAGGACCCACACTAGTGCCCTAGAGATACTTTTTCAGAGCAGTATCTCCTGCCTCTCTGCTGAGCCTCTTTGGAATCCCCTTGATCTCTTTGCTTATTGAGAAGCAGAGTTGGTCTCTCCCTCTCCCTTTGCCCTTCCCCCGGTGTGCATGCTCTCTCTCTCAAATAAATAAATCATAAATCTTTTTTTTTAAAAGGGGGGGAGGGCGCCTGGGTGGCTCAGTTGGTTAAGTGTCCGACTCTTGATTCCTGCTCGTGTCATGGTTGTGAGACTGAGCCCCACATCGGGCCCTGTGCTGGGCCTGGAGCCTACTGAAAATTCTCTCTCTCCCTCTCCCTCTGCCCCTCCCCCTGCCCGCATGTTCTCTCTCTCTCTCTCAAATAAATAATCTTTTTTAAAAAAGAGAGAGAGAGAAGCAGAGTTGGACAGGGGAGGAGAACAGGTCCCTTTTAATTAGGTCCCAGGACCTCGCTGAGAATCAACCAGGTCCAACTCCACCCGTGGCCCCCATCCTCACTAAAGGGACCTACAGGACCCTAAGTTCAACGCTGGATGGAGGGACAGCAGTAAAACTTGAGCCTTGTGGCCTAGCAAACCTAACTCCATGCCATTTCTAAAAGGAACCTGGAAGCTGAGTTAGTATTCAATTCAAGACTTTCCAAGACAATTTGCTACATTTAAGGATGTTGCTTCAGAAGGCTATAAGCAGAAGTTGTACTCTGAATTAGAAGCACTCTCCCATTTTCCCCATCTTGCCTATAGGTTTCAATCCTAGCTACAGGCAACATACAGGAATTCTCCTGTGATCAAGAGTCTTAAACACTTCTAGGAATTGCCTACACTCAAGAGGGAAGCATTAGGATCTTCAATAATTCAGATGTCTCTACAATCACTACTAAAGAAAAGCTATGTAGGTTTTCTGATGTATGGATAAACTGAAAGTGCTTGTGGCTTTAGAAAGATAAATGGATGTTCTCACCCTGGTGCCACTGTGCATGTGTGCATGCGCGGGCTCCCATGCATGCGTACACACGGGATAGGCCATTTTTAAAAGAAGCATCCATACTTGTACACACAATGCAATTTACAACCAAACCAAAGCTTCCTGAACAAGTGTGAACAGGCTGTGATGCCATCAGGTTTATAATCAGTCAGCTGACAGCCCCCTTTGAAGACTGAAGAAAAAGGAAAGGTACCAACATACCCACAATGATAAAGAGGGCGCATTCAGGACTAATACCTACAAAATGCTTCTGCTTTGAGCCTATTCCTTTAAATAATCTGCTGTGCAGGGGGGAAGCAAAGATTCTTCTGGGCTCTACAAAGAGCTCTTGTCCCAAGTCAGAAATAGGTGGCAAAGAACTGTCATCTAGAGCCAGTCGGGCCAGGTGCATGGGCTTCTGCCCCAGTGTCCTCCACAATTAACCACTTGAAGTCAGAAACCAAGTCAGATGAGTCCCAGACATGCATGTTTTAGAAAAGAAAACAAGTTACCTAACAACATTTTAAACTTTTAATTAACACTCTGTCAGAATGAGGATAAAGCACTATCCTTTTCAATTGTTTTTACTCCTCCTCTCTCTCTGTGGACCCTCCGCGCTACAGGTGGGCGAGCAGCCAAAAAGGACCATATCTGCAAACATCTTAAAACAGCCCACGTCATTTATAAGCATTTTAACAGCACATGATCTGTAATGAATGATTAAGTAAAACCTTTTGTGTTAAATTATGATGTTAATAATGATTCTGTCTGCTGTAATTTATTATGAATTCTCAAATGCTTCGGGTTTGATTTTGATAGAATGCCACAACAACAGAGTTTATGTGATGACTTTATTTTTAGAACTCCTTCTTTGAAGGCACACATTTCCCCACTACTGCTGCTACTGTAATTATGTACAAAACCAATCACTCATTAGAGTTAGGATACATTATCTTCTAGACAGATGAGGCTAAATAAGCAACACATTAATAATTCAGAGAGGAGTTCATTATGCATGTGGATGCCTGCTTCGTAACTGAAATAAGAACCTCATCAGCCTCTGCCAACCTTTAAACAATAGTTCTGTGTTATTGCGACCACATTCAAGTTTACGCTTGTTAAACTGCTACTTGGATTATTTTATCAAACATTCATTTATTTGTGGTCCCTCACTGCCGAGAACAGATTTTGGAAGCTCCTTTTTTAAGTTAATGATTTGAGCAATGGGTGTTATTAATTCTCAGAATATTATAAACATGATTAATTTTCAGGCAGAGATTTATTACATAAGGATTTCAACTATGTCAACTGAAATGCATCACTGTCAAAACAAGTATCATGGCGAAAACAGAATATGCTCCACACTTCAAGTGCTGGTGCTCAGAACTAAATCAATTTAAATTGTGGCTGAAGCAAAATTATATTCTCCAGTGAAAAGGAGTATTTCGAGCTTCCTTTATTTGGCTTGAAGCATTCTTGTTAGATTGTGATTTAGAAAGGTAGTTTAATAAGACTAGACTTCTACCGATAATATTTTCTTTTCTATTTTTTTCCCCGTTTTACCAGAAAAGGCTAGCCTCTGAAATGTCCACACATTCCAAATGTAGCCAATGGGAATTGGGAGTGAAGAGCACTGGTCTGAAAGTTACGGATCATGAATTCTGATCTCTCTCTGCCTCAGTTTCCTCGTTTGTAAAATAAAGGAGGGCTAAGTGACTGCCAAGGTCTCTTGAGGGATTTGATTTTATGGGGCCTGTTAAATAGGTCTCTCTCTGTACCAAGCCTAGCCCAGGCAGCCTCATGCACAGTAGGGTGCTGAGGGGGCCATCTCACTGTCTCCTGGAAGGGGATGCAGCAAGGGCCCATCCCTCCATACTACAGCCTTTCATTAAAAGGTCTTTTTCCTGCAAAATCTTTTAGAAATAAGTAATATTGTTGTGAGAAGTCTCATCCTAAGTCCTCATCAGCCATCACCTTAGCTATCAGTTAATACTTCCGACAGGCACCACCTAGAGGTAAATTCAGCAGACTTAACACCTATACCATGTCAGGTACTCTCCTAAGCCCAAAGGATGTAACGATAAGCAGCAAAGAGCTCCAAGTTTATCAGAAGACACAGATAGCCAACAAATAACTATAATACATATAATAACATGATAATAACATCCAAAGTGTATTAAGCCTTTATTCTACACCAGGTACTGTAACTAAGTGCTTTACATGAATCTTTATACAACCCAATATACTAGGCAGGTGTTGTTATTATACTCACCTTTTTTTTTAAGAGAGAGCACGTGCTGTGTGTGTGGGGGGGAGTGGGGTGTGGGCAGAGGGAGGGAGAGAGAATCTTAAGCAGGCTCCACACCCAGCATGAAGCCCAACTCGGGGCTTAATCCCACGACCCTGAGATCAAGACCTGAGCCAAAATCAAGAGTCAGATGCTTAACTGACTGAGCCATCCAGGCTGAGCCACCCAGGCTATTATGCTCATTTTTAGATAAGAAGACTGAGGTTAAGAAATGTCAAGCACCATGTGGAAGGTCCCTCAGCAAGCAAGACTGGAAGCCAGAATTTAAGCCCAGGCCTGCCAGACTTTAAAGCCTATGTGTCTGACCACTGTTCGGAGCAACCTGCCTGGCACTGGCTGAGAGTCAGTGATTTGGCCCCAGAGTACAGCTTAAGCTCATCCCTAAAGAAGTCTCTGGTTGAGGCCATAGAGAAAGCTCTTCTTCCAAAGGAAGCTTCGTCTCCCTCTGAGATGAGGTTGTTTCCAGGCATACTGCCATTATCCACTGGCTTCTAATCTGCTCTGAGCTAGGCCAAGACACAGCATTGAATGGGACAGATGGTCATGGAGGAGTCTTCTCCTGCTGTAAAATCCATTTAGGTTGTGATTTCCTTGGCAAACCTAAATAGATTTTATACCATCAGAAGAGAGTTGATTACACAAGTCAACCTTTTAAAAACATGTTTTCTATTTGCATGATGTTTTATCTTTTAAATTGGCATGAGCTTATTTGATCCCCATGATGACCTCAAGGAATAGATAAGACAGGAATTATCATAACCATTTTACAGAATAGGAAACTGAGGCTATGCAAAGTTAAGTGAGCTGCCCACGGTCATAAAGTTAAATAAGTAGCAAAGCTCAAGCATTCTGATTCAAGGCCCTTTCTGATGAAAAAGTTGGTTGGTTGGTTGGTTTTTATTTTAAATAACTTCTTTGTGAAATTATTTTAACAAATGATAATAAGCACTAACATTTTTTTACTGTTTCCTCTGTGCCAGACACTGTTCTAAGGTCTTTAGATACTCACCTAACCCTCACGACAACACTGTCACCCCTGTGCTATCAGGCGGAATAAAAGACAACCCTAGACGACCAACAGTTTTTCCCTGTAGAAACTGTGGAGTTACTTAAGTCTAAGAAGAGTAGGTGTATCACGTATGTTCATCTTCATTGGCATTATTATAACACATTTACTAAGCAGTTAACATAAGCCAGGAATTTCACCAAGCATCAGGGATACAAAGACATTTGACAAAGTCCCTGTCCTTGAGGAGCTGAAAAGAAATATAAAGTAGATAGCACTACACAAGGAAAACCCAAGGCCTCATTCAGCACCATTGAGCGATAGCCCCTCAACCTGCTCCTGGAGTTCGTAGGAGAAAGGACTGTGGACTGGGACTGGCAGAGACAGGGGACAACTCACTAGAAAGAGGGAATTTGGCCTGGCCTTATAGACTAGGGCAGTCACTAAGTGAGGAGGGAAAGGAGACCTCCCCAGCAGAAGAGACAAAGGCTGAAGAGAGCCCATGGTCTGTGAGGAGCTAGCAATGAACCAGGTGGGCTGGGGCAGAGAATTTGGGAAGGAGGAAGTAGGAGAAATGGTTGGAGCAATCTCCCGAGCCGGTACGGGAGAGTCTGCACACAAAGCCAGGTGTCTGCATTTCATCTTGAAGGAGGAGACACTGAAGAGTTCTGAGCACTGACCAACCTGGGTCTGAGAAACAATCTTGGGGTAATGCTTAGAATCCCAGGTACCAGCGGGGGGAAGGAACAGCCTAGGAAATTACATTTAGTGGGGGTCCAAAATGCTCTGAGCCCCGTAGACGCTTTCAAAGAAAGAGCAACAATATTTATAGCTACCATTCATCAGGTGCCAGGTGCTGTGCTAGGTGCTTATTTAATCACCAAAAGTCAGAGCAGTTAAATGACACATTCAAGGTCAGTCGGGTTTTGAACTTCAGTCTTTCTGACTCCGTATAACTTTTTCACCACAGAATTCTCCTTGCATTCCCACCTCCCAAGTAGGAAGGAGAAGCAGCTGTCCAGGCCATAAAGCTCTGGAGTAGGATGGCAATGGTGATGGAAAAGACACAGCTTGGAGACATAGAGCAAATATCCTGGCTTTTCTTTTAGACTCTTTATGAATCTTAATCCTAGGTCTGGGAGAAGGGGGAACTGCAGTTTGTCTCTGTAGAGAAGAAGAAACCTCAGGATAGCCTCTCCTTACTTGTTGTCCAGCAATACTAGACAGTGAGCTTGGAACCAAGATACACAGCAATGAGCGGGCTCCTGCTGCCAGAGGCCTGCCTACCTCTCTTCCTCGCTGACTGGGGCCTAGTCTTGGGCTTGCTAGTTTATATCCTATGGCAGCATAAGACAAGTTTAAAAGACAAAAATAACCTTGGAACTATCTTGTGAATTCATGGTAATCACCACGCAATTACATGCTCAGTAACCACAATGGAATTCCAGAGTATTTACAGTTCTCTTCCATATGCAAAAGCTCAGGCTTCTGGGCCTTCATTGTGAAGGCAGGAACATGGCGCAGCCTGCCATGAGAGGGTGCGCAGGCCTGGTGGTCACGCTCCTCCAGACTGACTGAACAGCTGAGTCAGCACTTCTCTTAGCTGGTTCTTATTACCCCACTAATAACTCCACCATGTCCACCAGAGCTACACTGTCCTCCAAAAGATAGCCTACCGGGGGCCAGGCCTGGAACCCCTGAGCTACCATTGTCCGGGGATTTCCTGTCATTCCCTAGGGTCTGCTTCTGCCCCAAAGCACTCACTGACTGGACATCCCCTGAATTACACTGGAAGAGTCTCTTCAGTCAGAGGGAAGTGCTATAGACGTACCTTACTACATGCATCCATCCATCCATTCTTTCGTTCAGGAAACACTGAATGCCTGCTCTGTGGGGCATCACATCCAGCCTGGGGATTCGGAAACCAAACAGTGCCTGCCTTCTTCAGAGAACTCCCGTCATGTCAGGGAAGCAGCCAGGGGAACAATCCAGGATAGGTCAGAGTGATCACAAGGTACAGTTGTGAGGCATGTCAGGGTCCAGTAGATTTTTTTGGCACAACTAAAATGCTCAGTGGCTACAAATGGGACAATACTAATGGAGATGTACAACTCAAGATGCATTAGCCTGTGGGAGCCCAATATTTTTATAGATGTGGACTCTGCCTATAAGTGGGAAGAACAGGCTTAATAGTACTGAAAACATTACCATCAGATACAGTATTTTCTGCAAGTGTTGAAGGAAAAGACAATGTATGTGGGGAAATATGTCACAGAAGATGAATGTGAAATCTGAGAAAGAGAGAGAGAGAGAAAGAGTGTGTATATGCTTACGTGTTATATGGGCAGGGAAAATATGTTCATCTGCTGGGCACTCAGTCAGCCCCAGTTCCTTGCATTATCTCAGAGGTAGAGAGGGCAAGCCTTGACGTTTCACAACAATGTCAGGCCATTATGATCCTTGCAGCCAGCTGTGGACCAACAGCACCTCCTTTTCCTTCCCCGGTTCCAAGTCACTGCACAAGGGCAAGCACCTGGTTGCCCCCGCACCCAAGGACCCCCAAAGTTCAAAATCTGTGCCAGGTACCTTCACTTTCTATGCCCTAAGGTTGGCCACAACCCTACATGCTGTTTTCCAAATTTCCGGTTCTCCAAGGATAAACGTAGCTGATTTTCAAAGACAAACATCACATCTCACAAAGGACATGCTACAAAATTGCCAGGATCAAATACTTTCTTTTGTATGTACTCAATTTTAAATGTTTTTAGGAAATACTATAATTGAAATACTTCAGGCCTAACATAACCAGTCTCTTCAGGATAACTCCCACTGACAGGCACGCAAGATACAGAACGGCACTTTCTCAAAGAAAGAAAGCAACTGGCATCAAAATTCTAACATTGGTCCTCTCAAGAAGGCAGACTCCCCTAGTGACCTGTTTCCAAAGAATGTAGTACAGAAACAGGTAAAAGTAACTTTACGGTGAGAAACGTGGCAAAGATGACCTTGGTGAGATCAAAATTGGCATTGTCGATGGTAAGTCATGTTGATACATGTACCCTTGATACGAAGTGATCCTACGGCGGTCCTCTTCTCAAAAAACATGTTACGCCAGTCTAGTCAGGAGAAAACCATCAGACGACACCAACAGAGGACCTTCTACAAAACACCTGATCTGCACTCCTCAAAACTGTCAAGATCATCAAAAACAAGGAAAGTCTGAGAAGTCATCACAGCCCAAAAGAACCGAAGGAGACATGACAACTAAATACGATGTGGTATCCTGGATGGGATCATGGGACAGAAAAAGGGATTTAGGAAAAACTAATGAAATCTAAATAAAGAACAGACTTCAGTTAACAGTAATGAGGCAGTTTGTTTCCTCCTGGGACAAACGTACCACAATGTTAATAAGAGGGGGACAGGAACCCTCTGTATTATCTTCACAGCTTTCCTGTTAACCTACAACTTTTCTAAAGTTAGGAGCTTACTTACATATCTTATAAAGAGTCATATATGCAGCTGTGGTCTTTTCTAGGCATCAGCAACCATTCGCTATGCAGTGATGACTACCCAGCTGAAGCACAACAATCTCTCGCTGGTTTTCCACTATGTTTTCCTCCAGATGTGTAAGGCCCATGGCATCGGCTATGACATTGAGGTATGCAGCTGATGGTTGGCCAAGGTGGGGTGATCCAGGCAGCTAGTAATTCAGTGTCCCTTCAGACAGATATTTTTGAAACATTAGTTTAACCTGTATTTAGAGGAAGGCTGAGTGCTGCCTGAGGCAGCTCCACAGCGGGGTGGCTCTTGGTCTGGGGAAGTTCAGCTCGGTCCCACCTTGGTAAAGCAAAAGCCCTGTAGCTCACCTGACTTAGGAGACATTTGGGGGACCATCTCTTGATCCTGAAGCATGTCCTGAGTTCCCTGACCCCATTCAGAGCTGCTTATCAATGAATATCCTCTGTCTCAGTCTGCTTGAGCTGCCATAACAAAACACCACAGACTGGGTGGCTTAAACAACAGAAATTTATTTCTCACCTTTCTGGAGGTTGGGAGGTCCAAGGAGAAGGTACCCAGCCAATTGGTTCCTGGTGAGAGCACTCTTTCTGGCTTGCAGATGCCACTTTCTTGCTGTGCCCCAACATGGCAGAGGGAGAGAGAGAGAGAGATCTCTGGTATCTCTGTAACCTCTCTTATAAGGACACCAGGTCTATTGGAACAGGGCCCCATCCTTATGACCTCACTTAACCTTAATCACCTCCTTAAAGGCCCTATTTCCAGTACAGTCACATGGGGGTTAGGGCTTCAACATATGAATCTGAGGGGACACTCAATTCAGTCCATGGCACCCTTCAACCTCCATATAGTAGTTTCTTCCCAGGAGGAGTTCTGATTAAAAACAAAAACAAAAAACAGTTGTTCCCATTTTGGTCTGTTGCCAATGATACTGATGGTTCCCTTCCAGCTGCTTCATCCTTAATGTAGCTGGATGAGGGCAAACGGAATGTAATATCTCCTACCTAAACTAGAACCTCCATTTTGTGCCTAGAGACTCCTGCTACTCTGAGGAAGTTTTGTGATTTTGCAGTTTGATTCAGATTTTCAAATCTCTGACACTGAAGGCTAAGAGACCCATGCACTCTTAGTTGTGGAAGACCAATTCCACATGACATCACACATATTAAAATATAGTCACCTCTCATATTAAAAGTCATTTGTAGATAATGACAGAATTGAGCAACAACCAACTGATCAAATGTTTTAATTTGCAGACATTCAGTTCTACATTTATTAATTTTCATTTCTCGTACTTGAGAACAAATACAATTTTTTAGGGATCAGTTCTTTTTATAGGCTCTTGAAAAGCATGTAGACCTTAGGCATGAGGCCAACAGTGAATAGAATGGCCCAGCTACCACTGGGCAATCCTGCCACACTGCAGGGCACTGCCAGAATGCATAAGGCTCTTGGGTTAGATTGATTCATGCTGTTTGCAAACAAATACAAAGGAGCTCATATTCCCTTACAAATTATGTTAAAATTGGTAAAATATAGGAAAGAATGAAAAAGCCAGATTGAACTGATTTACCTGAAATTAATTGTTACATCTGCTCTACAGAATCCTTTTGGAATTAAATAGTTTTTAGCCCCAAACTGATTAGACCGAAACACTTCCATATGCCAGAAGGTGGCTAAATCTAATGTTAGCTTTCTCGGAATCTATCTTATTTCATTTTCTTCTAAAATATCAAAGCAGAACAAGATCTGTGAATAGGCATATCTGGCAGGGAAAGTCTCCTGCCCAGAAGAAAATATCCTCCATAACTTTTCTATTGCCTGAAATTATTATTAGAGATTTATTTCTTTGGCTAAAGGCTTTCTACTTGATTGAAGTTTCTAGTATTTCTGGGAAAAATAAAGCACCAAATTTTATACATTATTTACACCGCTGTGGCTCTGAGTCGACCAGATTAATTTCTAAGAAAAATTTTAGTACAAAAAACAGACTGCTATGACCCCAGGGGAACAGCGGATGGTGCAGAGGGAGGGGCTCCACTGAAGGTGAGGAGAATGCCAGAAAGGAGCAGAGAGGCACCCACAACATGACTGGCTCTGTCTCTAGGTCACCTGTGCTACACACCCCACAGAGGGTGAGAGCAGAAATGGGGAAGAAAGAGAAATATGGACTGGGAGCAATGGAGGGACAGAACAATATGAAGAAGAAAACAGAGAGGATAAAATCCAAACACAGAAAGAATCCACCAAACAGGGGGAGGTGGGGACAAAGAGAAAGAAAAAGAAAAAACAATAAAAAGAGAGTACGAGAAAAGAGTCAGAGATGAAAAACATGATGTCCTAAAACTCTAAGGTGAGGTAAAGGAGTCATTGGAAATTCTCCAACAATGTCCTTACTCCAGTTTTCCTGATACAGGTTCTCGTCTTTCCAGGATCCATTCCTGGTCTGAACTGTCCTCTTGGTCTCTTAACTGCCTTTTCCTGAAGAGACAGGTGATCAATCCGCATTTGTAGAGCACCCACTGTGCGCTGGCCACCAAGCGAAGCACTAACTTCATTACCACCTCAACTTTCCCATCTCTTCTGTAAGAAGCTATTATTTCTCCCAGATTACACTCAAAGAGTGTCAGCACTTTCCCAAGATCACACAGCCAGGCACTTTGTGGAACTAACATTTGAGTCCATAAAGTCAAACATGATTCTTTCTCTTACACCAAGGGTGTCCTCTATGTATCTTTTTCCCCCTAAGAACTGTTTGTATTTCTAAAATATTATTACCAATCCAGTCCAGGAATACTGGGAATAATTTCAAATAAATATTCCATCTAGGCACCCCTTATGTATTCTTCAGCTAAAGGAGCACAAACTTCTCTGTAGCCCCCAAGTCTCTCTACCTTACAAAAGATGGGAAAAAAGCTGTGTTTAATACTTAACTTCTCTAAACCATTATTGCTTCCATGAGTTATGCTACGTCTAAAAAGACGAGTGTAGCCTCCGCTACCCGCTGCCATTCTTGGTCAAATTTAATGTGGGTGCTCTTTCCAGAAAAAGAAGCAACATTAATAATACATCATTGTCAATATTACCAAAAGAATCCTCCAAAGTCCTTGTTCTCGACAGTTATGTCTTTCTTCCCATTATGATCACAGAATTTCCAATGTTTCTTGTCCAAACTCTGAAGGGGAAAAAAGGGAAATAAGATCACCTCACAAGTGTATTTTCCTTGCTGAATATTGGAAGGAAGCATTCCAGAGTTTGTAAGTAATTTGGTGGGTCTCGTTCTTGGTATTTCTGTAATGCGACAGAATACCCCCACTGATTTCCTAATGAAATGAAGTTGTAATGAAAAGCCATATGGAGAAAAGTGTCATGTTTACTGCCTGCAACAGTGTGCGGCAGGGCTGGTCTCACACACACATAGGCAGTGTGCCATGGTCCTAAATAGCTCCACAACCACCAGTGATCATTTCCTCAGGCCAGGGTACTGCCACAGTGGCGATCATTAGGACTTTTCACAAATGTTCTGATTCTCCTCCTTCTAGGCACATACCAGGCTTATACTCCCTCAGCGCTCTCCCTGAAGTCAAGTATGGCCATGTAACTTACTTGGGCCTGTGAACTAGGAGCAGAAGTGATACATGTCCTTTCTATGCAGAAGCCTTCAAGAGCCACTTCATGAGTCGTCATGTCCTTTTTCCTGCTTTAGAAATCATGGAAGCACACTGAGACAGAGCTCCCTTTGTCTGGGTCCCTGGGTGTACCAACAGTGACCAGAGACCCATGCCAGCTCATGTAGGAAATGGGGTACAAGCAAGAACCACACATTTGTTGTTATAAACAACTAAGAATTGAGTTGGTTTTTTTAAATTATTGTAGCCTCACCTAGCCTACCTGATTGATTCAGAAATCAATATCAAGAAAAGGATGCTCCCCAAACAGAAAATTATTTCAATGTATAATCAGTATAAAAGTTATTAATGACATATTTTACATTTTTTATACCCAGCCTTTGAAAGCTACAGCACATCTCAATTTGGACTACTCATATTTCAAGTTCTCAGTAGCCCCATGTGGCTAGTGGCTACCATATTGGGCAGCACAGAAACGGATGCAGGATACCTTACAGATCATCTAGTCAGTGGTTCTCAACTCTGGCTGCCCATTAGACTGACCCGAGTGAGGAGCTTTAAGAAGTACAGATGGCCAAGCGGGCCTGGGATTAGGATGAAGCAAGTGAGGCCTGTACTCAGAGCACAGAATTTAAGGGAGCACAAAAAATTCTCTGTAATAAAGATAAAAATATTGTAATATATTATCTGAAAAATCAAAATCAATGCAAAAAATCCATGGCCAACAAAATATAATTTTAAATTAAAACATACTGATTTTTCCTTTGCTTCAGGCTCAAATATGGCTCAGCATGACACTGTACTTCAAGCCCACTCCAGTATTTCTGGAGGTAGGGCTCAGGCATTATATTTTTTAAAGCACTCAGATGCTTCTAATGTGCAGCCAGCATTGAGAGCCACTGTTCTAATCCAATGCCTGTCCTAATGCCCATGTTTCCTGACAAAATGAGGAGTCAATAAGCAGTCTTAATTCTGGCATGTAATTTCTTTTATCAAATATCAAAAATAGTTCTTTTTTGGACTTCCCATGATGAGGAGTTCATGACTTCATAGGGCAGTCATTTCCACTACTGGACAACTCCAGTGTTAACTTTTTATTTATTTGGAAAAAACTAAAGAATAGTTTTCAAAAAAAGATAAAATCATGCCTCTCATACAGATGCAAAAATAAAAACATGATATTTTACTAAACAGAGAAATTAGACAGATGTTATAACCAGTATAAAAAAGAATCCAAAAAACCCAGACACCTTTATACGTCAGGAATACTGAAATGGATATGCAAATGGAGAGAAAACTAGTTTTTTCACAAGGGGAGCAGATGAGGAAAATCACCTGAACCTTTCCCAGACTGGAGAGAATTTGTCTCTCAGTCACTTAGGACTTAGAGAGTTGTAAATATCTCCCATAGAATCAAGGCAATAGGGTGTGCCACAGACCACATACAGTTTTCCACTGAAATACAAATTATTTTCCACACAACAAATTGCTTCCCTCTGTATTTTTACCCATTGCTCTCAGAAGAGTGGTTTTCAGATTTTGATTTGCAGGAGAATCACCCTGGAAGTGAGCTAAAAAGCAGATTCTCTCCCAAAGATCTTGAGTTTGGATGATGCCTATGAAAATGCCTTTTTAACAAGCACACTTGATGATTCTGATGCAGGTGTTCTGAGGATCGTATTTCAAAAAAAACACTGGCCTAGACAAGAGATAACAAGTTTTGGTGCAGATATGGAGAAAAGGGGACCCTTGGGAATGTTGGTGGGAATACAAATTGGCTCAGCCCCTGTGGAAAACAGTGTAGGGGTCCCTCAAAAAATTGAAAATACAACCACCATATGATCCAGCACTTCCACATCTGGGCATATATCTGAAGGAAACCAAATCAGTATCTCAAAGAGGTATCTGTACCCCCATGTTCACTGCAGCATTATTCACAATAGCCAAGCCATGGAAATAGCCTAAGTGTCCACTGATGGATGAAAGGATAAGGAAAATGTGATAGATATATATATGATGGAATATCATTCAGTCATGAGAATGAAGGAAATCCTGCCATTTGCAACAACATGGGTGGACCTTGAGGGCATTACGCTAAATGAGATAAGCCAAACAAAGACAGTGTATGATATCACTTATATTTGGAACTAAAAAAGCTAAGCTCAGAAACTGAGTTGAATGGTGGTTATCAGGCTGGGAAGTAGGGAAATTGCAGAGATACTGTTAAAGGGTACAAACTTGCAACTAGATGATAAGTTCTGGGGATCTAATGCACAGCATAGTCATATAGTCAACAATACTGTATTAAATACTTCAAAACTACAAAGAGACTAGATCTTGCATGTCCTCACCACAAAAAAGAAATGATAATTACAGAACATGACAGAAATGTTAGCTAAGGCTACAGTGGTAATTATATCACAATATATAAATGTGTCTTATCGAGGTATCTTTGTATACCTTAAACTTACACAATGTTATATATAAATTGTATCTCAATTAACAACAGCAACAACACCGTCCCAGAACATATCTACTCCATATTCTGGAGACAGCTTTTTCCAAATGTGCTTTTCATAATATTTGAAGGTAGCTCTGGATTTTAATTCCAATCAGTCTTAGTGGTCTTAGTGCAGTATGTTTTCTTTGCTTCTAAAATAATATGCTATTTCTTTTCTCCCCATTCAAATTTTCTAGGACAGACAAGGAACTATTTTTATATTATATGAACACCTGAAGAGAGACAAGTTGGGAATGTTGTGAGTATGAAGTGCGTCTATGAGATGCAATAAGCTACAAAAATAGACTATAACAACCAATAAGAACGCTTCTCATGCATTTTAATCAGCATGCTGATTTACTGGAAGTCTATCTTGTTTTATTTAGATCTTTAAGTATTTCACAAAATGACTTTATGTGTCAGTGGGAGTTCATAAATACAACTGATTAATTATCCAAAATTGATGGGAAAGAGGCTAGTTCCAACAACATATTACACCCAAACACACACACATACAAGGCACAATAAATCTGACTGAGGAGGAACCAGCTCCAACATCCATATTGTAGAAGGGCAGTTGTCATTCTGGCATGCTTAGATAAGTGCTCTGGTGACTTGGCAAGATGCTCCCCCAAAAGGCAGGGTCCACAGCTCCTCCTCAGCTCCAATATCAGCCCTGACACATGTATGCTAAGAAGAGTCCTGCTAGCAGCACTCAGGAGGCTGCTCTGTTTCCTGTTTCCTGCAAATTTCTCCCCAGCATAATCTGGAGAGCTAGCAAATTTGTCTTCTGATCTAGGATTCATACTTTAGAGACATAATCTTATTTCATATCTTGGAATATGGCCGTTTGACATCTTTAAATTATCTTAACTGGGAAACCGTTTCTGCTCTGTATTTGTCTTCCTTCTGACTTCTACAGTAGTGTAGACATTGCGGCCTCACATTGAAAGGATTGTACACACTAAGATCTGGTCTCATGAAACACCAAATAAGAGCCAATTCCTCTACTAAGCATCAATGTCCTGAGCAGCCTCAGTTCCCCCTAGGTGCTCAGTCCCCTAGAAACTGGTCCCAAGAGCTGCACACTGAAATGGGCAAAGATAGGCACAGGACGGGTCTCAACTCTCCTTTCCAAAGTGCCGTCCTGTGTTCTACCACAGCACTGTCCAGTACAACAGGCCATCATCAGTGCCTCCTCAATCCCTTTGAACTCATGCAAATGTTTTGGTTTGTTTTGGTTTCTTCCCCCTTTGTAGCTGGAATGTGGCTAACACTTTAATCGTGTTTACAGTCTTAAATGCTTCTCTTCACTTGGGTGGAGAGCTGGCTGGCTGAGTCATCCCCTCCAGTTACCCCTTTCCTCAAGGCCCCATAAACATGTAAAATTTACTGGGTCATGTCAGAAGAGTCCCTTCACTGTTTATTTTAGGCTCTCTTCCCCACTCTTTTTTTACACTGCCAGGAGAGCAACAGGAATGAGACAGAACACCCCAACAAGTACACATTCATCTTCTCTGCCTGGATATTCACATCGAGGAGGAGAATAAAGTCGGAGACACCTCTGTGCATGTGCAGGGAATGAGCTGCCCTTTGCTTCCCAGTGACGTTCTATCCCTCAACTCCCTCCCTGCCCTACTCCATCAGAAAATTCAAAAGCGTTTTATCAATGTGCCAGGCACAGTTCTAAGTGTTAGGCATATAGCACTGAACCAAAAGACAAGTCCCTGCTCTCATGAAGCTGATGTGGTGGTGGGTGGACAGTCAGTAAATAAGTAAATGAGTTAATATGCCCAGGGCTGTGGCAGGACACAGGCCCCCAGGCAGTTACCAAGACTGGGAGAACCAAGCAGTCAGTGGATTTAAAGTTGGCAAGCTGGGGGATAAGAACTTTGTATTTTCCAGAATTATGAGTCTAATTAAGCAGGTAAAGTTCCAGGTCCAAGTACCTGTCTAAGCCCAGGGATTCAGACAGATGGGTTAAGTACAAGAACTAGAAATGAGAACACAGAAACATGAACCCTACCTTACCAGTACTGGCTGGCATGGAAGGTAAACTGCAAAGAACAAGTGGGCCAGGACTGGAAAGACACAACCCCTCATGTGCTTGGAATGAGGCTGGGAGGGACAGGACCCTTCAGGTGAAGGGACAAGAGCAGCCAGGGAACCACATACCCAGGGAGTTCAGGTGCCAGGAGATCATCCCAAGGAGCAACCAGTTCACAGCATCAGGAAAGGTCAGTAACATAGAGCGAAAGGATATCCACAGAGTTAGTTGTGGGGAGCACAACTATAGGAGCTCAAATAGGAGGCTGCTTTTACAGACCCAGGCCGGCAAGGGGATGGCACGAAGACAGAGAGACTGTCGGCATGAGGCAGAACCCAGCAGAGGCTGACTCGCAGGAGAACTTGTGTCCTAGAACTGACAGGTGAGACAGGGATCATGTTAACAGGGCAGAGGCTGATTTCTCACAGTAGGGGCCACAGGAAGACTTATCCAAGTGGGTACTTGGCCACAGAGGAGACAGGCAAGAGGACAGCATCTGGGAATTTAGGAGACTTCTGAGACTTATGTGAAAAAGGAACTCCCCAGTCATCAAACTGATGGAGCAGCAAAGTTGGTTTGATGCTGAAGCCAACAGAAGGAATAATTAGACTGGTGACAAAGAGGAGCTCACCCAACCATCCTTAATCCTGCTCCTGAGATTTCAAGCAGGAATGCCTTGACCCGCAGGCTAGCTTTGCTGGTGGCAATATTCCTAATGGTATACCTTCTAGATGGTACCGCTACTCACGTATCCTACAGAAAGGGCACTGTTGATTGACATGGGCCTCTTAAAGACTCTAGAGCCTTGTCTACTACTTCCTGTATCATCCTTCTCATCCCTTCCTGCAGCCATAGAACCAGAGAATGTTGAAGCAAGGAAGGACCCTGAGGATTAACAGACTCTCATGGTATAGAAAAGAAACTGGGTCTTCAAGCAGGGATGTGGTTTACCAGTATCACACAGTAGCTTGTGTCTCTGGGCCCTGAATCTAGTGTGCTTTTCCAATACCATATGGCTACCTTATGTAGGGAACCCTATTATGGAAGAGATTCTCATCCTTTTGTGAAATGCATCACTACCTGTGCAAGTTTGTACCAACTTTATTAATTTACTTCTTCTGAGTATTAGGTAGGATTCAGGATTATCCCCAAAATTCTTACTTGCATGCAGCTGTACTTTCTTGACTATGTGATTAACGGGTGGAATTACAGTTAGTACATCAGGAATTGCACTAACACGTGGACACAGAGGTTGAGAACAGATGATTTAATAGACAATGACCAGACAGAGTCTTTGTTTTCTAGAATTCATATTGAAAGAGAAAAGATGAGCTAATACAAACTTCTTTTCTTTGTGTTGTTTGTGTTGGTTTTCTCTAGAGCTTTAAGGAAAGGCTTTTCATGAGCTGGCTGGGCTTTGTTTGGCTTTGTTACAATCAGTTCACATCAGGTGAAGATGTTAGTCAGCTACCTCTTCAGGAAAGGGGAGGGCTCCAAGAGGGATGAACTTACAGACCAGAATTCAGTGGTTTGGCTTTGCCAGGATAACTTCATACTGACTCCATTTATACTGGCATATTTCTGGGACTAGCAGAATTCAGGAAAAATTTTCAAGGAAGGAAAAATGAAGGAAATTCTAGAAATGAATTAATAGGGAAGAGGACTTAGAGTCCATCCAGCCTCTTGGTTCACAACCTGGGGACCATGGACCCCAGGAAGCTAAGGAGAGATGACAAGGTGGGCATGAATCCATGTGTGGACCCAGGATCATACACACACACATAAACACACTAATTTTAAATATGGGCCTCAATCATACACACACACACACACACACACACACATATGAATCAACTGAGGATTTCAGTGAAACTATACATTCCTGGATCCCAAACCCAAAGAATCTGATTTTGTTGATCTGAGGTAGACCCTAGGAATCTGCTGTTTTAAGAAGCACCAGGGTCTAGGGCACCTGGGTGGCTCAGTTGGTTAAGCTACTATCTCTGGCTCAGGTCTGATCCCAGGGTCCTGGGATTAAGCCCCACATTGGGCTCCCTGCTCAGCTGGGAGCCTGCTTCTTCTCCCTCTGCCACTCCCCCTGCTTGTACTCTCTGGCTCTCTCTGTCAAATAAATAAATAAATAAATAAAATCTTTAAGAAAAAAAAAAAAGCACCAGGGTCTAATACATACTGACATATTGACTATGTGGCAATAAAGTACAAATCACTTTTAAAAATTATTGACTCTTAAGTTGCCTTTGGCTATTATTCTCTTAAAAGAGGCAATAGATACTAATGTTCAGTAACTATGAGAAGTAAGGGTGGGCTGTCCTTGGACTGGGGACTGTAACTCCAAAAGTTTGGAAGCACTAATCCAATCCAATCCCTTCATTTCAGAAAAAAAAGTAATGAAGAACCCAGAGAGTTTAAGTAGCTTTCTCCCCAAAGTCACACTGCCGGTGGCAGGACAGTCTCCTGCCTGGGCTCTGGGAAGCTTTCTGCTCCCAGCCTGACCTATGGGAAAACCTAATCAGGCTGGAAGGCAGCCATTCCATAATTAAGCCTTACACTCCAAAATGACTTATTTTACAGGCAACAACAGGGAAGGAAGTAACCCAAAGTTCTTTGCAGTTACCTTAAGAGCCAGCTCTTTAGTTTCATACCCTCAAGACAGAACAATTCTTAAAAATCAATCCATTCATTTAATCCATTTTTTTCCCTTTGATACAGAAAGTTCACAAAATAACTAGAAGATAAACTCTGTAGTTTTGCAAAGTTTTGCAAAGCTAAAACTTAAAACAACCTAGTTGTTTGGGAATGTTCACTGGCCACAGTGTTGTCTCTGAAACCTTCAAGTGTGTGTTCAGCTTTATAAAGCTTTATAAAGCTGGCTGTTCAGGAATGGGACACATTCTCCTAGAACATGGATGGAGCATACTCATAAATAGCAGGAATTGCTTGTATACCTGAATAGAAAATAAGCCCCAGTCTCCAGAATACTGAGGTGCAAATATCTCTGTAGGCAAGGAAATTGTTAGGTATGAATTATATTTAGCAACAATTCTCTTATAAGCTGATTTCAACAATTTTTTAAATGAACTAATACTACCGTCCTAGCTTGGTGGTAGCCTTTTGCTAGGAATGACTGAAGCTATTCTTACATTCTGCTAAGTTGATTAATAAAAGATATTTATTACACAAATCCTCTTTGTTGACAAGTTAAAATGGAGCCTCATCTTTCATATCTCCCTGAAGATTGCCACCTTGTGAGATTGAAAATACTCATTAAATTCCACCACCAGACAGGCACAAATGAGAGGGTGATTGTTTTTAAGCATGTGAGGGGAATCGTTGGTAAACTCATTTGTTTGGATATCATTAACAGAACAATCGGTGAAGATCTCCAGGGGGTCCTCATGACCTTTGCTCGAAATCTCTTCATCATCCATCAAGAAATATCAGCACCTAATATGCAAGGCGAGACCAATTTTAAGGTGAGGTGTTAATTAACTAACGATTCTGGTTAATTTCTATACAAGGACTGAAAATACCTCATGCTGTATTGTAAACAAGTGCTAAACCATTTTTTTTGTGAAGCAATACATATTTTATAATGTACAGGGTCAATATTATAAGGTTCCCACTGAACCTGTTAGTTAAATTTAATAGTTTGAAATTTTTTCTTTGAAATATAGACTTGTTTTAAGTTGCTGCCATTTTCAAACCCAGTTTACAAGACAACACGGCTCTCTGAGATCAGAGGTGAAGCTGAAGTGTCACAATGAAACCAAAACAGAGACTGTCACCACCGAAAATCCTGAATGTAACCTACTCTCATTTCAGATAATGCAGTGTCTGGCCAAGGATTCCTGGGGAAGCCTCGTTTCTAGAACCAGAGTTCTGAGGCCCCAGGAAGGATAATGTGTAGTAGAGAGAAACAGAAAAAGCCCTCAGCGTATACATGGGCCATGTACCCCACCCTGTTTCTCCAAAGTGGGGCAGAAATTTCATCACTAACCTGTTTGAAGCTTCCAAATGGCCTTTAAAGATGCTGGTCCATGAAAGCCAGTTGTATGTAATTGATCAGAAGTCTCCAAACTGTAGGAATATGAACAAGAGCAAGAAAACAGGAGCAAGATCCACACAAGAGTTTTTGAAACACAGGCCAAACAGAGATGAACATTTGGTATTTTTTTAATTTCAATTTTTTATTTAAATTCTAGTTAGTTAACATATGGTGTAAAATTGGCTTCAGGTATAGAATTTAGTGATTCATCACTTACATATAACACCCAGTGCTCATCACACAACAAATGCCCTCCTTAATACCCATCACTCATCTAGCCCATCCCCCACCCACCTCCCTCCATCGACCTTCAGTTTGTTCTCTATCGGTTAAGAGTCTCTTATGGTTTGCTTCCCTCTCTCCCTCTCTCTCTCTTTATTGTGCCCCTTCCCATATGTTCATCTATCTTGTTTCTTAAATTCCACATATGAGTGAAATCATATGGTATTTGTCTCTGACTGACTTATTTCACTTAGCATAATACACTCTAGCTCCAACCACGTCATTACAAATGGCGAGATTTCTTTTTGACGGCTGAATAATATTCCATTGTATATATATAAACCACATCTTCTTTATCCATTCATCTGTTGATGGACATCTGGGCTCTTTCCATAATTTGGCTATTGTTGATAATGTTGCTATAAACATCAGGGTGCATGTGCCCCTTTGAATCAGTATTTTTGTATCCTTTGGGTAAACACCTAGTAGTATAATTGCTAGATCACAGAGTAGTTCTATTTTTAACTTTTTGAGGAAACTCCATACTATTTTCCAGGGTGGCTGCACCAATTTGCATTCCCATCAACAGTGTTAGAGGGTTCCCCATCCTCACCAACATCTGTTGTTTCCTGTGTTAATTTTAGCCATTCCAACAGGTGTGAGGTGGTATCTCATCGTGGATTTGATTTGTATTTCCCTGATGATGAGTGATGTTGAACATCTTTTCATGTGTCTGTTAGCCATCTGGATGTTTTCTTTGGAAAAATGTCTGTTCATGTCTTCTGCTCATTTCTTAACTGGATTATTTATTTTTTTGGGTGTTGGGTTTGACAAGTTCTTTATAGATTTTGGATACTACCCCTTTATCAGATATGTCATTTGCAACTATCTTCTCCCATTCCATAGGTTGTCTTTTACTTTTGTTGATTGTTTCCTTCACTGTGCAGAAGCTTTTTATCTTGATCAAGTCTCAATAGTTCATTTTTGCCTTTGTTTCCCTTGCCTCTGATGACATGTCTAGTAAGACGATGCTATGGCTGAGGTCAAAGAGGTTGCTGCCTGTGTTCTCCTCTATGATTCTGATGGTTTCCTGTCTCACATTTAGGCCTTTCATCCATTTTGGAGTTTTTTTGTGTGTGTATGGTGTAAGAAAGTGGTCCAGTTTCATTCTTCTGCATGTTGCTGTCCAGTATTCCCAACACAATTTGTTGAAGAGACTGTCTTTTTCCCATTGGATATTCTTTCCTGCTTTGTTGAAGATTAGATGACCATATAGTTGTGGGTCCATTTCTGGGTTTTCTATTCTGTTCCATTGATCATTGCATCTGTTTTTGTGAACACTTGGTATTGATCACCGAAATCTGCATCTGATTCCCAGCATGGGCCTTCATCATGTTTGAATAGGTCAAGTAACTCAAATGACTCAAATGGAACCACATGTGATCTTTCTCTTAAGTGGAAAGCCCAACAAAAGCTTGTTGTAAAAAATGTAAATTTTAAATGTATTTTCCTTGCACTAGGGCCTGGTCTCTCTAGTAACAGTAATAATAATGATAATGCTTTCCTCTTCAATGTGATTTTATAAGTTGGAAGAATGACCATTGCTTTTCCTACAACAGGACTAAGAAGACTCAATGAAAAATAGGCCCAGTGTTGCACTGATTTTCACTGGTCCTAAAGGATCTATCTCTTCATTTATATTCTAAGTTATTGTCAGCTAGCATAATTTCACCAGTTACTGCGATGTGCAAAATTCTGAGCTATATGCACATGATCAGTTTAGTCTATCCAAATATAACTAATAACCAAAATCAAATGGTGCTGTGGACTGAATTATGTCCACCCAGGTGCCCCTAGATTCATTTTTAGTAATATTTTCTGTCTACCACCCTAGTGACATTCTAGTAAGTATTTTCGATTTGTAAAGAAGGATTTATGAAGACAATAAAAATGGAAGGTGGTGCAGATAAAGCATTTAACAAAATCTAACACCATTTCCTAAAAACACTCAACCTAGGAATAGAAGGGAACTTCCTCAACCTGTTAAGGGCATTAACAAAAACCCATAGCTAACATCATAGTTCATGGTGCAAGACTGAAAGCTTTCCCCCTAAGATCAGCAGCAAGACAAGGGTGTCTGCTCTCACCGCTTCTATTCATCACTGTACTGGAGGTTCTAGCCAGAGCAATTCAGCAAGAAAAAGAAATAAAAAGGCATCCAGATTGGAAAGAAAGAAGTAAAACTATCTCTATTCACAAATAACATGATCTTGTATTTAGGAAATCCTAAAGACCCCAGAAAGAGCCTGTTAGAGCTAATAAACAAGTTGAGAAAGGTTGCAAGACCCAAGATCAATATAGAAACATCGTATTTCTATACACTACCAATGAACGATCCAAAAATAAATTGTTGGGGGGCACCTGGGTGGCTCAGTCGGTTAAGTGATTGCCTTCGGTTCAGGTCATGATCCCAGGGTCCTGGGATGGAGTCCCACGTTGTGCTCCCTGCTCGGCGAGGAGTCTGCTTCTCCCTCTGCCCCTCCCACCTGCTTGCGCTCTTGCTCTTTCTCACGCTTTCTCTCATGCTTTCTCTCTCTCTCAAGTAAATAAATAAAATCCTAAAAAATAAATAATTTTTAAAATTTAAAATTTTTAAATGTTTTTAAAAATTCCATTTACAATAGCATCAAAAAGAATAAAAATACTTAGGAATAAATTTAAAAGAAGTACAAGATCTGTCCATCATAAAAGAAAGAAGATCTAAATAAATGGAATGAAAGACAATATTGTTAGACGGCAATAATACTCCCCAGATTGATCTATGGATTCAACACCAATTCCTATCAGCATCCCAGCTGGCTTTATTGCAGAAATTTACAAGATGATCCTAAAACTCCTGTGGAAATGCAAAGGATCCAGAATAATCTAAATAATATTGAAAAAGAAGAACAAAGAGGAATTACGCTTCTCAACTTTAAAACTTAACTACAATGGGGTATCTCGGTGGCTCAGTCAGTTAAGCATCTGATCTTGATTTCATCTCAGGTCAGGATCTCAGGGTCGTGGGTTTGAGCGCTTTCGGGCTCCACACATGGCACAGAGTCTGCTTATCCCTCTCCCTCTGCTCCTCCCTCCGGCTCATGCTCTCCGTCTCTCTATCTCTAAAATAAATAAAATCTTTAAAAAATAAATAAATGAAACTTAACTACAAAACTACAGTAATCAAGACAGCGTGGTATTGGCATAAGAATAGACATAGATCAATGGAATAAAATTGAGAGTCCAAAATAAACCCATACATTTATAGTCAATTGATTTTCAACAAGTGTGCCAGAACAATTTGATGGAAAAAAAAATTGTCTTTTTAACAAATGGTGCTGGAGAAAACAAACATCCCCATACAAATGAATGAAGTTGTACCTTCTCCACAGCATATATAAAAACTAAATAAAAATGGATCAAAGACCTAAATGTAAGAGCTAGAACTATAAAACTCTTAGAAGAAAACACAGATATAAATAAATCTTCATGACCTTGTGGCTAGCAATGCCTTCTCAAGACATGATACCTAAAGTGTAAACAACCAAAGTAAAAATAGATAATAGATAAAATGGAATATTATTCAGACATAAAAAGGAAATGTAGTTCTGATCCATGCTACAACACAAATGAACCTTGAAAACATTATGTTAAGTGAAGGAGGCCAGACACAAAAGGCCACATATTGTATGATTCCTTTTATATTAAATGTCCAAAGTAGGCAAATCCATAGTGAGAGAGAGTAGATTAGCAGTTGTCAGGAGTTAGGGGAGGGGGAAAATGAGGAAAGGCAGCTAATGGGCATAGAGTTTCTATTTGGGGTGATGAAAATATTTTGGAATTACATAGTAATGACATTTTCTTGTGAATATACTAAAAACCACTGAGTTGAACTCTTTGTAAGGGTGAATTTTAAGGTATGTGAAGACTACCTCAATAAAAAAATAGCTAAATAAAATAAAAGGGAAAGGTGCCGTTTTTCTGCCCAGTGGAAAAACCAATGGAAGTCAATACTCCCATCAGCCTACTAGCCCCCATTTTAGGATGACTAGATCAGTGCTTCTCAAATTATCTGTAGTGAAGTTTTGTTTTTTCCAACACTATCATGGATCAGTACTTTTGTAAAATACAACAAAAATGAATTACTAGAAAAATGAAATGAAAAAAATTAAAGACGTATAAAATAGAAGCCTATTTTTTTCACTTGATTTAGCAGCCATAAAAATTTCTATAAAGGTTTCCAAGTTCTTACTCTCAATTTTTTTACTCATTTCAGGACTGATAACACAATGTGTAGATGGGTGTTAGTTGGCAAAACATGCCTTGAGTTTAACTGGTCTAAATTATACTCAACTCCAAAACGGAGCAAATAATTGGGGTGGGGGAAAGAGTTGTTAAGAGGTCTTTAAGTAATGAATATTATTTTTATTGTTCATTTATAGACGGCCATTGATGACATTGAAGCCATTCTAGGAGTAACAGAGGAAAACAAAATAAGATTTGAAGAAGAGCTAAAACAGTTCAAAGATGATAAAAACCTCTCTAAACCTGATAAATGAATGTTCCTGGAATACATTGCTGATTTTGGATTCTAATCTGGAGTCAAAAAAAAGGCAACATTCTTCTTGCTGTTAGGAATAAAAGTGGGGAGTGGAGTTAGTTTGCTTTGTTTGCTAGAAGGTGTATCAAAACAGATTATAATGTAATGCTCTTTTTTAAAAAAATATTTATTAAGTGATCTTATTTTGCTTATTAAATTAAAAGCTATTTGTGCTTTCACTTGAGAGTGTCGAACAATCGCTTCTTCTTCCAGAACTCAGGAAGAAATAATCTAACAAGAAAGTTACAAGTCTTACTGATATCACTTCTGTACCTACCTCTTTATGAATTTCAGGATTATGGAGCTTTTGTTTATGCCTTATGAAGTTTTCTCCTCCTATTTCTAATAGTTATTAGTCTTCTGCATTTAAGAAATGGAATAGAGGCTTAATCATTGCTATTTGGCAAAACAGGTCTTCTTTTCCCCAAGAAAATTACATTTACATGGATTTTTAAAGTGACCCTTTATCATTCATTGTATTTTTTTTTTTTTTGTCCCAAGCCAATATTGTTTGTTGTTGCCATTTCTCAAAAAGTAAGGTAAGCCAACATCTAGTTAACCAAAGCATCAGAATTTATCTAGGTGGCAGTATCTGCTCTTAGTTTAATATATAGCATAACTCGAGCCTCTAGCTTGAATAAACATTTGTAATCTCAAATTCTCCATTTAACATGGCAGTAGGATTTTTACAATCATAATTCAACAGTACCTTTTAAAGTACAAATTTTTAAAATTATGCAGCACTGACACTAACTCTTAGCATTCGCTTCTCAATTGTTCAAAATATTTCAGAATCATCCAGCTTTACAGAAGGGTGAAATATGCAAGTCACAACACCAAAATCACATAGTTGTTTTAAAGAATAACCTTTGTTATCTTTAAAAATATTTGAATGTGTTGGGGAAACTAAGAGTATGGTCTTATGTATGGAATTTCAATAATTTTTAACAGTGCCTCAGCCACAAGCTAAGAGTTCCTGCAATAAAGTCAACATTTTTGTGTGTGTCAGCTTTTGTTTTGCTATAGTTGGAAATACATTAATTAGCCAGGTTTCCTGCCTGTGCTAGGTACAACGATGACCTCTTTTTCTTGCCAGATCATTCTAATCCATATGAGGGGCCCATTGTCCAGACACTTGACGGATAGGAAGTACTACATGCCCATTAGAATCTCGCCTCAATTGAAGCCAGAGCAACATAAGGTCCAAGAGACTCATTAGTTCACTGGCACAATCGTGTCCTGAGAGTAAATGAAACCCTCTGTCTCCTTATGGCTCTCATCTGCTCTGGACTTTAAAAGAAAACTGTCTCTGTTTTGTTCGGCACAGCAGTGCATCTTTCACATGGTGAGAACCCCCTTAACAGTACAAAACTGTTAAATCTATCAGGGAAGTTTTGTATGTGCATTTTGATCAGCACTTTCGAGCCTCAAGCTGCTGGCAATAGTAAAATGAGTTCACTCTCCTGTACCTTTTGTTTTTTTTAACCCACCATGATTGGTTTTCTCAAACAATGCACTTTCCTTCTTTGCATCTCTCATTAGCAAACACCACAGAATGCCTGTTTCCAAATTGAGGCCTTATATTCAGATTCAGAAAACAATTGGGAGTAAGGTTCTCTACCTAAAAACCTACAGCTTCAAAATGAAAGGAAAAAATTTGGTATAATAAAACAATCACTTCAAGTAATTAAGTGGAAGAAGCCAGAGGACCAGATTAAATTAGTGAAATGTTTTAATTACAGAACATCTGAAAAGAAGCATAGTCCATTATCTTTTAGCACATATGTGTAGCAAAGATACTGTGCTACTGGTAAACTAAGGTAAGTTTGAAAAAAAATCACATATATGTGTACAATGTATAAAGTATCCTAAACAAAATTTGAGATTTTACCATTCTCAATAGGAAAATGAAATATTTGTCAAAAACAGGATGTCCCTTTACATATTACCCATTTTATATTGATTTTAAAGAAACCAAACAGGTGATATTCAATGACAAATGGCTATCTACTTATTTATCTTCTGTAATCTACTTATATTTACCTTTAATGAACACTTCTTATGGGCTAAGTATATACCGTAATAGAAGCTTTATCTACATTATTTTATTGCACCTGTCCAACAACCCGACCTTATGCTGCTTTTATTGCACCTGTCCAACAACCCGATGTCCCATTTTACATACGGGACACTAAGATTTAGTGGAGGTATCTCAGCGTATGTCTCAAGACCAAATGAAATTGGGGCTTTGCTCTTTTATCACAAATCCTAGCATGTTGTGTAAAGTAGACAGTTCAGATTCCACTCGTTCCAGATGACACAAGAGACTTGCACTTTTTTATAACAAATTCTAGTGTTGCTTCAGAGACAGTTTCACTTATGCTTCCTGCTAATAAAATCAACTTGCACAACTGACAGTATCATGAGGCATCACAATTATGTAATCAAAGAAATCAGGAGAAGAGAATGTGGTGTCAGTGGAATTCTCCCATGGTGCTGGATCTGTAAGACTTTGGTGGAGGACTGACAATGGGAAAAGTTTGAAGCTGCAGGAAAGTTTGGAAGCTGGGAAGTCATGCCCCGTAGTTTGTTTGAAAAAGGGTATAAAGTCAAACTGGGAAAGGGTTAAGAAAGGACTTCCAACAAGACAGAGAGTAACTTGGGAAAAGATGGAGCATTATTTCAGCTATATCATCCTAAGAATTGCAAGCATCCTATTTTTCAGGTATAAAAATATGTATTTTATCATAAGTAATATATTAGTAACCATCTGATAGCTTTAACAATTAATAATCATTTGTATGCATCTGGCACCTTTCTTCTAAAGCGCTCAAAGCACTTTACATTTGTTATTTCATTAATTCCCAACACTGTCCCTATGGGGAAGGTAATAAATATTTTAACATTTAAATGTTTATCTTTCAGAATTTCTCAAGCATACATTATGTTTCCAAAAATGTAAATGTTCACTAGTTTCCTTTTACTGTTCCTCTGGCTTCAATGTGCATAACAGATTTGTTCAACTCTTTAAATGTACTGATCATAGTAAATCTTATCTGGAAAACTATAAATTGCTAAGATAATGGGAGGATGGAAGTTGTGGCTGGGGGAAGCATATGACTGCTTTTCTCACTGGAAAAAGTTTGGTCCAGTCCACTGCAAAAGCAGATGAAATGTGCTGTGGATCTTCCAAACCCTTTCTGTATCCCATTCTTTCCAAAAGGTGAGCCTCAGGAGGGTAAGGGCTGTATCTGTAAGCCTGAGGTAGATTGCACTACCACGTATATTTTTGTTTTACTGATGATTTTATCAAAGTGGAACAGAAACCGGATGCATTCTATTAGGAGCTGCATCTCAAAGAGTCACAGAATAATAAGGGCCAAAAACTTGTCTCCCCAGCCCTCACTCTCTCTGGGCTGATCATACCTTCCTTAATTTTCTAACTAGAAAAATGACAGATAGTAATATCTGCTCCTTGGGGAAGTAGTAGAGATTAATTGGCCAATGTTGGGAGAGCGTTTCCAAGAAGAAGCTTTCTACATAAATGTTTAAGTATTATTATTGCACTGCTACTTCAAATGGAAGTTCTAACTTTGAAATGTGATTATACACTTTCCAAAAAAAAAAAAAAAAACCTTCATAACCACATATATAGGTTTATTTTTCACTCTAACAGTCTAACTCATGGTTGTGAAACTTTATTGCACTTGATGGAGGACCCTGGCTTTTATTAGTTTTAAACTGCTGGTTGCTGGGGTATTTATGTAAATGAGGGAAAGATACCAAAACAGTAAATAATAAGCATGTCCCTGCTGTTTAAAAATCTGTTGGTAGAAACAACTTTTGTTTGGTTATAAGAAGAACCTAAACATAGCACAGAAAAATATAGCTTTGGCATCTATGCATAAAATAGCATTTTGGCTTTAGGGGGGGTTTTTTTGACGTTGGTTTTTCTTCCCAAGCATTTCTTTGCCATTCTGTAAACATTTTGTTTTACCCCTACAGTGGCTACCATATATATCATATACATGTATGTAAGAGAGAAAAATAAGTAAAATACATTTTAAGAATTTTTTTATTTAACAAAATATTATAAAGTATACTAGATAGCTAATTATAGCTCTCAGAAAGCAAGGCCACACCCAAATTTATTGCAGTTTCCTCATAAGGAATGTTACGATAAAATCATGGTCCCATAAACTTAACAACAAAACAGCAGAACTTCCATTGGTTGTAAAATAACTTCAAATTCAAATTCAAATTCTGGTTCATTTAAAGATTCATGCTGCTTTGCTTCCCAGCAGAGGACACAAAATACTTATTTTGCAATCATTGAAAAATTTAAAATGATCTAACAACACATGACTTCCAGGTTCCCTTTACAATGTCTTTCTACTCATCTTTTTTTTAAGTTGACTATCCATAGCCACATTTTGAAGCCAAAAAACTAGGTTCATTTGCAACAACAATGAAAAATCAGAAAGGTTTAAACATTTAACAATAAGGTATTACTTAAAAATTACAGGGGGTGCCTGGGTGGCTCAGTTGGTTAAGCATCTGACCCTTAATTTTGGTTCAGGTCATGATCTCAGGGTCATGAGACCGAGCCCCGACTCAGACTCCACACTGGGCATGGAGCCTGCTAAAGATTCTCTCTCTCCCTCTCCCTCTGCCCCTCCCCTCATCCCTACCCCTCCTTGCACACATGCACACATGCGCTCTCTCCCAAAAAAAAATTAAAATAAGAAAATTATGGAATAGCTATATAGCCATTTAGAAAATCACAGGTTACTATAACTACTGTATGATATAGCCATTCCACTCCTAGGCATTTATTTACCCAAGAGAGAAAAAAGTATATTTCCATTCAAAGACTTGTACATGAATCTTCATAGCAAATTTATTTGTAATAGCCCCCAACTGGAAACAACCCAAATGTCCACCAACATGTAGATGCAT